GGCTGTAAAACAGCTGCAGTACATTCAAAATGCAGCAGCTCGAGTCCTGACTAGAACCAGGAAGTACGACCACATTAGTCCAGTCCTCAGTCCCTGCACTGGCTTCCTGTGGCTCAGAGAATAGACTTTAAAACAGCTCTGCTTGTGTACAAGTCTCTCCATGGCCTCGCAACCAAAATATATTAGTGACATGTTAGTCCCCAATATGAACCAGCCCGGACTCTGAGGAGCACAGGACTGGACTCCTGTTAGTGCCCAAGTCAGAACTAAACATGGGGAGGCTGCTTTTTCAGATTCATGCTGCTAAAATCTGGAACAGTCTTCCTGAAGATGTGAACAGGCCTCCTCTCTGACAATGTTTAAAACAAGGTTGAAAACGTTCTGTTTAGCTGTGCATACAACTGAGGGATTTTATATTTATATTTTTTTATCTTTTTTTTAATGTACTGTGATTATTTATGATTTTAATGCTTTCTTGTTCTGTTCAGCACTTTGAATTGCCTTGTCAAACCCCGGCACCCCCGCAAAAAAGGTTATGAATTGTGCTATACAAATAAACTTGCCTTGCCTTGCCTTGCCATAACAAAAACAGCTTCATGAGATCAAACTACTGGGAGCGGAAATTGATAGTAGACTGTTATGGTCCAAACACACGAGCACAGTAGCACAAAGAATGGAGTCTGAGTCTGTCAATGGTTAGAAGATGCTCCCATCTCTTACCGCTCAACATGACAGCAGATGTCATAAAAACACTTGTTCTTTCACAGTTGGATTATTGTTCTGAAATTTGGTCGAGTGCTGCTTTATCAAATTTTTAGGCAGTTACAAATGGTTCAGAACAAGGCAGCTCGACTTGCTCTGCGGTGTACGTACAGAACAAATGTAAAGTGGATGCATTCGTGTTTGTCTTGGTTAATGGTGAAAGAGATATTTGAGGCATCGTTACTCAATTTCACAAGAATTATTATTGAGAACAAAACTCCAAATGTGCTTTATCAAGAGCTCTGTTTTAGTTCTGGTGAAGCACAACTATGAAACCCAACATGCCACAGAAGGCAGATTCAAGTTACCCAAAGTAAAAACAAATTTTGGAAAAGCAACTGTAATGTACAGGTCAATGTTTGCCTGGAATCATCTCCCAAATGACATTATTATTAATGCAAACAGTAAATACCAATTTAAAATCCTTTTAAAAAGACATCTATTGACAAATTAGTATAAACATGTGATATTACAACTGTGCTGTAATCTCTCTAACTACCATTGACAACTGAAATTGGGTCTGGGTCTTGTGTGTGTGCGTGTGCGTGTGCGTGTGTGACCCTTTGTCATCATTTGTATCATTTTTGTTTTTATTTTAGTATAATTATTGTCATGTATTTTTGTTAATGCACCTTGCCTGACTCCAGGAAGAATAGCTGTGTTGAACAGCTAACGGAGATCAAAATAAATACAATACAAAATACATTCTATTGCTAGATCAAGACGTAATGCGTCGGTCGGCCGATGACCTGTTTTCTACGTCTAAGGGAGGTCGGGATTGGACGTCATATCAATGTCTATGGGAGGTAATTATTTTACGTCCAGATGCACACCTTACATAGACGTCGTTTGGACGTGAATAAAAGGTCTCGACCGACCGACGCGATATTGCCGTGATCTGGAGGTGAGTGGACGTCGGATGTTTAGTGGGGAATATGGATGGAGCAATATACAGGACCATTCTGGAAGAAAACCTGTTGGAGTCTGCAAAAGACCTGAGACTGGGACGGAGATTTAGCTTCCAACAGGACACAAATAGACGTATCCAGGTGTTAGAATGGCCAAGTCAAAGTCCAGACCTGAATCCAATCGAGAATCTGTGGAAAGAGCTGAAGACTGCTGTTCACAAACGCTCTCCATCCAACCTCACTGAGCTCGCAAGGAAGAATGGGCAAGAATTCCAGTCTCTAGATGTGAAAAACTGATAGCGACTTGCAGCTGTAATTGCAGGAAAAGGTGGCGCTACAAAGTATTAGCGCAAGGGGGCCGAATAATATTGCACGCCCCACTTTTCAGTTTTTTATTTGTTAAAAAAGTTGAAATTATCCAATAAATTTTGTTCCACTTCACGATTGTGTCCCACTTGTTGATTATTGACAAAAAAATTAATTTTTATATCTCTATGTTTGAAGCCTGAAATGTGGCGAAATGTTGAAAGGTTCAAGGGGGGTGAATACTTTCGCAAGGCACTGTATATGTAGTCAATAAATTACAATCTAAAAACTGTGATTATGAAATTCCATGATTACTGTGTAGACTGAAATTAGGACTAAAAAGTGCTCAACCCGATCCAACCAAATGGTGTCCCTTATTTTTTTTTTTCTCAAGTTGGCAACCCTAACAATGGGGGACAATGTGCTTGTTAACATGTTGTCATGCTCCCGTGACTTTATGCAACTGCTTTGAATGTGTTCGCCGATGCGGAAGTACCGTTTAATAATAAAATAAACTTATTGCGCACCTCCGTGAACACATACTACTGTTATATAAAGTTCGTGGAAGGTCTCTGAACACAGAGACACTGCAGAGCTGCATTATTGGAAAAGATCTGTACACAAGAAGCCGCTAGCTAAACTCAGAGCCAGCCGGCTACTTCCGGCGCGTGCCATGACCTCTGGTGTGAAAACCCCTGCGTCTGAAAACTAGAGAACGTGCGTTTCAGCGTTGCCGAGCGTTTTAGCGTTGCCGAGCGAATAGGGCTGAAGTAAACAAACTTGTTTCACTTCCAGGTAATCGATTGAAGCCGAAATGTATTAAATACATTATGAAAAAGGTTAATTATTTAGCCTCCTGGCTCCGAACACGCGGCTGCAGCGTACACGAGCGCTCTAGTTTAAAGGGCACGTCCTGTGGTACATGGACCTTCATTAACAACTTTTCTTTTTGTTTATTTAGGTTTATTTTGAGTTGTGGGGTGAGTTTGTCTTGATTTTGTGTCCCTCGTTTTTGACTTTGCATGCTTTTTGCATGGCTTTGTCCTATTTTTTGTATTGCTTTATTTGCATGGCTCTCTGTTTTCTTTTATTGCATGATTGTTTTAGTTACATTACTATTTGTTTCTTTTTGTGCTTGTGTCCTGATTTGCCACCATTTTAAAAAATACCTTTTTAACAATTTTTCTATTAAAGGCCTAATTTGCTGTACTTAAATTATAATTGTCAAAATAAACTTGAGACCCGTTTTGTAAGCAGTCTCCCGTCTCCTATGCCCACAACTTTTGTGCCTTTAAGTATACAAAATATTTGGTTGGTTTCTAGACCACCTGGCGTTGCTGGAGCTGTTAAATCTTCCCTTCTCTAAACCCTCCTGTCACATCTATATATGTCTTATAAGCAATAAACCCAAAATGGTAATTTTTGTAAGCCTGAAAGTGCAAAATGGCCCTTTTTCGATTTTCGAATTCCTTTCAAAAATAGAAAATGTATTGAGCAAAAGTACACGGACCCTCTGGACACGCCTTTTTAGATTAGTATTTATTATAATTAATTTAATGTATTTAACTTTTAGACACATTTTATTTTTTGTTTTTGTCATTTACTATTGTTATTATTAATATTAGGTAGCTGCCTTATTTTGTCTCACATGTTTATGTTTTTAATTTTGATTGTGTTTTAGTATCCCCAGTGTTTCCTCTGGAGGAGCCCTCTGCACTGGGAGCTGTGGTCTGCTGTGGCTCTGGGGTCTGGCTCTTGGATCTAGTGGGGGTCCCGGGGCCTCCTCTCTCCTCTGGGTCCTGTGTCGTCCCCTGTGGCAGCTCTCTGGTCCTAGTGCAGATGGCTCCTTGAATGGCGTTTCTTCAGCTGGATAAATCTAAACCCAGCTGTGCGTCTTTTCATGGTTTTACCCTATTTTATCCATCTGATGTAACTATCATTATATATATATATTATATATATATATATATATATAATTACAGTAGAGACCAAAAGTTTGGACACACCTTCTCATTCAAAGATTTTATTTTCAAGAGTATGAAAAATGTAGATTCACACTGAAGGCTGCAAAACTATGAATTAACAGATGTGGAATTAAGTACGTAAAAAAAAGTAGTATGAACAACTGAAAATATGTCTTATATTCTAGGTTCTTCAAAGTAGCACCTTTTGCTCTGATTACTGATTCACACACTCTTGGCATTCTCTTGATGAGCTTCAAGAGGTAAGTGACCTGAAATGGTCTTCCAACAGTCTTGAAGGAGTTCCCAGAGATGCTTAGCACTTGTTGGTCCAGCTCACCCCAAAACCCTCTGGATTGGGTTCAGGTCCGGTGACTGTTAAGGCCAGGTCATCTGGCCCAGCACCATCACTCTCCTTGTTAGTCAAATAGCCCTTACACAGCCTGGTGTGAATCTACAGTCAAGTCATTATGAAAAGTAAAGAAACTCATTGGATGAGAAAGTGTGTCTGTACATACATATATAACATATGGTCATGAGCTTTGGGTAATGACCGAAAGAACGAGATCGCGGATACAAGCGGTCGAAATGAGCTTCCTCCGCAGAGTGGCTGGGCGCTCCCTTAGAGATAGGGTGAGGAGCTCAGTCACACGGGAGGAGCTCGGAGTAGAGCCGCTGCTTCTCCACGTCGAGAGGAACCAGTTGAGGTGGCTCGGGCATCTGTTCCGGATGCCTCCTGGACGCCTCCCTGGGGAGGTGTTCCGGGCACGTCCCACTGGGAGGAGGCCCCGGGGAAGACCTAGGACACGCTGGAGGGACTATGTCTCTCAGCTGGCCTGGGAACGCCTTGGGGTCCCCCCGGACGAGCTGGAGGAAGTGTGTGTGGATAGGGAAGTCTGGACGTCTCTGCTTAGACTGCTGCCCCCGCGACCCGGCAACGGATAAAGCGGAAGAAAATGGATGGATGATGGATACTTTCACTTCACAGTTGAAAAAAAAAGTAAAAAGACCAGTGACCAGGACACAAAGAACACAGAGTTCAGGTTTTTATTAAAGAGCCGTTTCATAAATCCGATCGATCGGCACAGAAGTCTGAAAAACATAAAGTTGATGATTCACTTTTCCTGGTTTAGAATAAAAATCACGATTGTCAGAATGTTTGACAAACTCAGAGTCACTCAAACTCAAAGAACCCATCCCGTTCAACTCAGAGAGGTTCAGGAAAGAAATAAAAGCTACCACAATACTATCACAATAAAACGGTACTTTTTCCCGTCTTTTTTGGTCTGTTTCTCACGGGGGTCTGTCTGATGTACGACAGCATGCGACAGGAAATCAACATTCCCACACCGCTAAGTCAAGAGCAAAATAGATCAACAAGTGTCCTGAGTTCTGACTTTTATAAGTTAATTTGAATGAGTTTTGGTATGTTAGGCCCATAAAATCCTTAAATGGCATAGGTGATTTTAGTTTGGATGTTAGCAAGCAAGCAGTCACTTATTCACAATGTGAAATCATTCACAAGAAAGAAGTTATTAATTACAGTTATTCAGAAATGATTCATTATTGTTAGGCTATGGTCAAACTTATAAAGTAAATATATAATTAATAGAATATCCAAAGAAGATAACTTAATAAGCATGCATAAAGCCATAAATTGGCCAAAGAGTTTCACCTCTCAAAAAGAGCTGTGTGTTATTTTTTATTTCCGTTCGGGGTGATGTTGTTGGCAACAAAACAGTATAAATATTATCCACAAATCCCAGCAACTTCCAGTAGTATATCCCCGCCCACATATGGATTTGTGTTATTTATATGTAGTCAATAAATTACAGTCTAAAACTGAATATGAAATTCCATGATTCCTGTATAGATTTAAATTAGGACAAGTGCTCAACTCGATCCACCCAAATGGTGTCCCTTATTTTTCTGTTTTCAAGTTTGCAAACCTGGTTACTGTTACCGTTTGCTGTTACAATAATCTAACACACCTTGAGTACCGTCGTGGATAAATGCCGGCTCAGTGGGAAAGCCCAGACATGCAGCGTGTTTGTGGAATGTGGCGTGTTCCTCCTTCAGTGCCGAGACGTTCAGGTAATGGTCCTCATCCCCTGCAATACAATAAAATGAGGAGCCGGTCTTGACCGGATCTGGTCCAGATCTAAAGAACAGGACTAAAGCAGGTATAAAGAAGGACAAAAGAAGTCCAAAGCAGATACAATTTAACAAGCACTAAACCAGGTCTAAAGCAGGTCTAAAGCAGGTCTAAAGCAGAACTTAATCAGGTCTAGAGCAAGTCTGAAGCAGGTCTAAACCAGGTCTAGAGCAGAACTCAAGCAGGTCTAAAGGAGAAATAAAGCAGGTCTAAAGCAAATCTTAATCAGGTCTAAAGCAGAAATTAAGCAGGTCCCTCTCACTGTAGACGAGCATGTAGTTGCCCCAGTCGTCGCTGCTGTACTTCATGATCAGACAGTGGTCACACGTTTGGAAGAACGCCATCGTCGTGTTGTCTTTGAAAGACTCCAGCTTCCCCTCATACAGCGAAGCTGCAAAACAAGGTCAGCATTATGTTACAATCTTGTTTAGATCACGTTGGCATTGAATTAGAGCATCGTGTTAGCACCATGTTAGCATTGTGCGAGCATCATGCCAGTACCATGTTAGCATCATGTTACCGGGATATAATGACCAGGTAACCATTGTGTTAGCATCATGTTAGTACCATTTCAGAGTAAGTGGTTTTATTGTGAAGGCCTCACTTCCTTCGTGTGCCTCCAGCTTCAGATTGTCGGCTTCCTTTGTAACTGTCATGTTGATGATGAAGTACGAGCAGTTATGCATGTCCTCTCTGAAAATACATGTAAGACCTTTAACCCAGAGCCCTGATGGCAGACGCTGATCCCTTTTCACAACAGTCCCATACAGCGACCACATAACTGCAGATGGTCTGAACTGTGTGGTCTATTTAACACAGGACTGAAGCAGAATTAAAGCAAGAACCTGGTTCAGATCTGGTCCAGACCTGGGTCTCACTTGTAGTGGTTGATCTCGTAGAAGTTCAGAGTTTCATTGTCCGGAGACAGCTTCAGTCGGAGTTTGGACGATGTGACCTTCTTCACCAGAGCTTTTCCCTTCGGACCATCGCTGACCCCCCAGACCGCTATCCAGTCCCCTGAGAGCTGCAGAGACCAGACCGGGGTTAAACTTAGGTTAGACCGGGGTCAGGTCATCTAAACATGATGGTAACTCACCACAATTTGGTTTTATTGACAATTTCAATGTGCTCTGGGACCACCTTCCCTTTTCCAACCTGATAAGACTTCATTTTACCCTTAAAGCACTCGGTGTCTCACTTCCAACATCCTCCATGCAGTTCAATTTCATCCCACATCTCTTTGACAATCCACCTCCACACACTCATTTTTCCTGCCCCTTTATGCCTCAACATCAGACCCTGCTCTCTTTCCCAGTACAGGATCTCAGTACTATCCAGACCCCGCCCCTATGGATTGTTCATTCTCAGAGAACGATCCTTTGCCAACATATTCACTGTTGTTGGACGGTATGCTTTTAACTGAACATCTGGTTGGGTCCAGATGCTCCAGCTATTCTCACAGAGGTTTTATTTGTATACAATTGGTATGATATGCTTATTTTAGCAGGTGATTTTAACTAGGGCTGTCAAAATCATTGCGTTAACGCGCGTTAATTAATTTTTTTCATTGATCGCGTTAAATGTTTTTACGCAATTAACGCATGCCCACGCATCCCATAATAACACTCAGAATGTTTCGTACACGTGCGTGTGTTGGTGACAGAGCAGGTCTCTGGGAATCTACGTTTTAAATTAATACACGCGTGATCGTGTCCGTGGGATACATGCTGTTGTTTCTTGTATGAACTCTGCAAGCTGAGCTGCGGCCGCTCTGGACAGCAGTTCCTCCAGCGGCTGTGATCACGGCGAACGGCGCAGTGTAACATTATCATATTCAAGACCACGCACAGATGTGCGTGTCTTTGCTTAACCCGTGCATACAAAAAATACAGCGCAGAAGCTGGACAACGGAGCCTCAGTCTCCTCCGTATTTTCTCCCGAAGCGCACTCGCTAAATTAAAGCTGGGGTGCCTATTTTTCCCTTCCACTACCAGTTCATGACAGATTTAATGACATTCTGCATTTCAGACTGTTTTGAAATGTCCCTCATCTGTAACAAACAATAGTTTTGGTCTGAGTCTAAACAGAAAGACAGAATGTTAATGCCATTATATGTGGATTTATTGTATAATAAACAAATACAGTACATATGTACACTATGTTGGCATGTATCTTTCCATTCAAACAACCATTTACAGAAAAATTTGGCATAATTTTGTCGATAGTTTGAAATGCGATTACAATTAATTTTTAAGCTGTAATCAACTCAGCCTCACAGAGGACACATCCCTAGACCTGTTCATCTCTAGGGCCTGGGTGGGTCCTCTACTGTCGGCTGTCTCTGACAACTAGTGTGTGTTTTTAACATCACTGGTTTTACTTAGCGAGAGACCTCAGTGAGAACTGTGAGGAAGCGACATTTAGGCCCTAAATTGGCTACATATTTGACATTCTAATACGCGTCAGTTGGGGGGGCGCTGTGGAGCCACAAAGCTAGATGGCAGCATAATGTGGTTGTCTGTCACAACTTAAAACGGTCCGGCATCTGCGCTTTTTATTACGCTCACAAGATGTCGAAACAAATAACAAAGGACTGCGAAACTACCTCTCGGCTACACGCGTCTCAGAAGTAAAAAAAAAACACCGCTCTGCTGCCAATGCTATGCTCAGGTGCTACGTTGCAGGGCTGAGCCAGGAGAGGGAAGCGTCCAAGCCGTCGTGCTAAGTGAGTTTACGCAGACATTACTTCGATTCACAACAAGATGAGCAATATTGCCAGCGTTGGCGACAAGCTGGAAGAACATATTTCTGAGATGAACAATGCTGTTACTGCGACACAAGGGGTTTGTCCGCTGATGCTACACAGCTCAACGAGGCAGAGGACTGCATTGAATCTACAGAGGAGAGCATGCAAAGCATGATTTAGGAGCTTTCTGCTACGAAGCGTATTGCCTACTTGGAAACTAAAACTGAGGATTTAGAAAACCGGTTTATGTTTTATTTTTCTATACATTCCCCTCCAGCTTGGATCTCCCTTGAGCAGTCCTCCAAGCTCCCATTCTGCCTTTATCTATAATCTGCAGATCTCAAGACCTTAAAGAAAAAAAAGAAAAACGCTTTTTCTTAAAAATACTATTGATATTTGGTTTAAAGCTCATAAACATAATGGTGATACACCCTTCGCTTCCCATTTCTCTCCTATTTGGGGTAATGTGCGGTTTGTGCCGGGTGCATCAGACGGTGGCATTCAAAAATTTGGCTAAACAAGCCATGCAAAAATTGGGGATTTATATCCTCAAGGTGATAGCTTGACATTCAATAAAATCTGTTTTAAATAATCCATCCCAAAAAAACACTTTTTAAAATATTTACAATTAAAGCATGGCTGGAGGGAATTGTAATGAAACATATGCAAGGTAGGAAGCAAATATCTATACTGTGCACTGCACTTGCTTCTCATGACAGGAAGTCCAGCTTTGACAGAATGAACACATGGAGCTTAACAAATATTGATGAAGTTGAGTGGACAGCTGCTTGTTTAAAGGCACAAACAAGAACTATCATTACAAGATTTAAGCTACTACAGCATAAGTGGTCAGAACTTACGTAACTTGCTAAATAAATGGTCACTCGACATTCCAGACACTTCAAATATTGTACTGAAACAGATACAGTGCCTTGCGAAAGTATTCGGCCCCTTGAACCTTTCAACATTTCAGGCTTCAAACATAAAGATATTTAAAAAAAAAAAGTTTTGTCATGAATCAAAAACAAGTGGGACACAATCGTGAAGTGGAACGAAATTTATTGGATAATTTAAACTTTAACAAATACAAAACTGAAAAGTGGGGCGTGCAATATTATTCGGCCCCTTTACTTTCAGTGCAGCAAACTCAGTCCAGAAGTTCAGTGAGGATCTTTGAATGATCCAATGTTGTCCTAAATGACTGATGATGATAAATAGAATGCACCTGTGTGTAATCAAGTCTCCGTATAAATGCACCTGCTCTTTGATAGTCTCAGGGTTCTGTTTAAAGCACAGAACACACCAGGCAGGTCCAAGATACTGTTGTGGAGAAGTTTAAAGCCGGATTTGGATACAAAAAGATTTCCCAAGCTTTAAACATCTCAAGGAGCACTGTGTAAGCATCCATCCATCCATCCATTTTCTACCCTTTAATCCATTTCTGGGTCAGGGGGGTGGCAGTCAGAGATGCCACCCAAGTCTCATAGCACCAGCCCCTCACTGACCCTCTGCAGGTGGTGAGTCCACAGGAGGACGGCTGCTCTCTGAGTGTGAACATAGCATTGATCTTTCAGGGGGGGCTTTGGGCAAAGTGGGGTTAAGTGTCTTGCCCAAGGACACAACGACAGCAGTCATCAGTGGGAGTCGGTGGAGAAGGTGTAGACAAGGAAATTGAACCCACAACCTTCAGGCCTGAAGGCCAATGCTCTACCAACTGAGCTACTGTCACCCCACTGTGCAAGCAATTATATTGAAATGGAAGGAGTATCAGACCACTGCAAATCTACCAAGACCCGGCCGTCCCTCCAAACTTTCATCTCAAACAAGGAGAAGACTGATCAGAGATGCAGTCAAGAGGCCCATGATCACTCTGGATGAACTGCAGATAACTACAGCTGAGGTGGGAGAGTCTGTCCATAGGACAACAATCAGTCGTGCACTGCACAAATCTGGCCTTTATGGAAGAGTGGCAAGAAGAAAGCCATTTCTCAAAGAAATCCGTAAAAAGTCTCGTTTAAAGTAGTACTAGAATTTAATATGCTGCTATCCAGAATATATAACTACAATATGTGTTTATAATATTTCGGGTGTTCATTTTGACATGTTCAGATGAATTATGTTAAAAAAACTGCTTTGAAGTGGCACCTTTTCACTTCCGCATAGAAACGCTAGGGGAGCCAAAATGGCGGCGATGACGTAGGAGAATGACCTCTCACAGCAGCAGCAGCAGTCTGGACTGAATCTGTAGGAGGTTTCACTGTCATCTGAACAAGGTATAAACATATTTTCATCAGTTTTGTACATAATAGTGTGCAACTCTCTTAACCTCTTAGCCTTATTTGTGAGATTCAAGCTAATTAGTGTTGGGCAAGTTAGCTAACTCTACTTGATATCATAAAACATGCTAACAAGGCTAATATTCGTTTTTACATTATGCCAGTCTCACTTTGGTTGCCTTAGATTTATTTACCACAATGTACATTATAATATTCAAAAATGCTTTAATTAGCATTTTTATCAATGATTGCATCACATGTAGTCTATGTTTTCAACTTCTGCAGCTTTTTGTTCATAAAAGTAAAATATTTATTTAATTCAAGTTATTTTGATTAGCATTTATGGATATTACAATGTACATTGTGGTAAATAAATCTAAGGCAACCAAAGTGAGACTGGCATAATGTAAAAACGAATATTAGCCTTGTTAGCATGTTTTATGATATCAAGTAGAGTTAGCTAACTTGATGGGAAGATGGATGGAGCCAAATACAGGACCATTCTGGAAGAAAACCTGTTGGAGTCTGCAAAAGGCCTGAGACTGGGACGGAGATTTATCTTCCAACAGGACAATGATCCAAAACATAAAGCCAAATCTACAATGGAATGGTTCACAAATAGACGTATCCAGGTGTTAGAATGGCCAAGTCAAAGTCCAGACCTGAATCCAATCGAGAATCTGTGGAAAGAGCTGAAGACTGCTGTTCACAAACGCTCTCCATCCAACCTCACTGATCTCGAGCTGTTTTGCAAGGAAGAATGGACAAGAATTCCAGTCTCTCGATGTGCAAAACTGATAGAGACATACCCCAAGCGACTTGCAGCTGTAATTGCAGCAAAAGGTGACGCTACAAAGTATTAGCGCAAGGGGGCCGAATAATATTGCACGCCCCACTTTTCAGTTTTTTATTTGTTAAAAAAGTTGAAATTATCCAATAAAATTCGTTCCACTTCACGATTGTGTCCCACTTGTTGTTGATTCTTGACAAAAAATTTAATTTTTATATCTTCATGTTTGCAGCCTGAAAAGGGGCGAAATGTTCAAAGTTTCAAGGGGGATACTTTCGCAAGGCACTGTAGGTTTCAATGGCATGTGATACATCATTTTAAAGCGTTTGAGTTTACGCACGCAACCGTCACGTCGGGGTGCGTGACGGGCGCTGACGCGGCAGTGTGTAGGCACAAGTCCAAAGTCCTGGAGTGAGTGACCGGAGCTGAGACCTTGTCTCGGTCAGACCAGGACAGAGACTAGAGACCGGTTCAGACCAGAGTCAGAAACCAGAGACCAGAGAGAGAGAGAGAGAGAGCAGAGAGAGCAGGTAAAGACCAAAGAGAGACTAGACTGGTCGTAAGGCAAGGCAAGTTTATTTGTATAGCACAATTTATACACAAGGCAACTCAAAGTGCTGAACAAAAATAAGAAAGCATTAAAATCATAAATAATCACAGTACATTAAAAAGATAAAAATATACAATAAACAATCCCTCAGTTGTATGCACAGCTAAACAGAATTGTCTTTAACCTGGTTTTAAACATTGTCAGAGAGGAGGCCTGTCTCACATCTTCAGGAAGATTGTTCCAGATTTTAGCAGCATGAATCTGAAAAGCAGCCTCCCCATGTTTAGTTCTGACTCTGGGCACTAACAGGAGTCCAGTCCCTGTGCTCCTCAGAGTCCGGGCTGGTTCATATGGGACTAACATGTCAATAATTTATTTTGGTGCGAGGCCATGGAGAGACTTGTACACAAGCAGAGCTGTTTTAAAGTCTATTCTCTGAGCGACAGGAAGCCAGTGCAGGACCCTGAGGACCGGACTAATGTGGTCGTACTTCCTGGTTCTAGTCAGGACTCGAGCTGCTGCATTTTGAATGAACTGCAGCTGTTTTACAGCCTGTTTGGACAGACCTGTGAGCAGGCCATTGCAGTAGTCTAACCTACTGGAGACAAATGCATGGATAAGAATCTCCAGGTCTGCTTTAGACACTATGTTTTTGATCCTGGCAATGTTTTTTAGATGGTAAAAAGCTGCTGATGTTACTGATTTGATGTGGCTATTAAAATTTAAGTCTGAGTCCAGTATTACCCCTAGATTTCTGACCTTGTTTGAAGGTTTTAGGGAGAGAGACTGTAGGTGACAGATGGCTCTCTCTTTGTTTCTGGGGACCAAAGACAATCATTTCAGTTTTGTCCGCGTTTAGCTGAAGGAAGTTGTTTTGCATCCACTCACTGATCTGTTGGATACAGTGAAGGAGTGAGTCCACTGGTCCATGTTCTCCTGCAGTCAGTGACACATAGATCTGAGTGTCGTCTGCATAGTTGTGATAGGACACTTTGTTTCTGCGTATTAACTGACCTAACGGCAGCATGTAGAGATTGAACAGAAGAGGTCCCAGGATCGACCTCTGTGGTACTCCACAGGTCAGGGCCATATGATCTGAGACACAGTTTCCAATCTCCACAAAGTACTTCTTGTCTTCAAGGTAAGACCTAAACCAACTTAGGGCGGTGCCAGCGACTCCAACCCAGTCCTCTAATCTCTGTAAGAGGATCTCATGGTTGACAGTGTCAAAGGCAGCACTCAGATCTAACAAGATTAGGATTGAGACTTTGCCTGCGTAAGTGTTCAGCCGGATATCGTTTGTAACTTTGACGAGAGCAGTCTCAGTGCTGTGGTGGGGTCTAAAGCCGGACTGAAACATATCAAATGAGTTGTTGATTATAAGAAATCTATTTAGCTGTTGGTAGACAACTTTTATAAGGACTTTCCCCATAAATGGCAGA